AATCCGGCATGTCTTCACCAATTGGGATAGTCAAAATAGCTTCGGCATCATCTTCCCAGAAAGTGTCTCGCACCAATTGTTCATCCCAGCCGCCCAAAATCGGGTCCATCAGTTCTTCCACTCTTGTTAGCAAAGAGGCCCCTCTTGGTGTGGCAGGCCGTCGGGTCTCCCCGCGCGGGATCCACGGGTCAGACCATATCTTGATTTGTTTTCCATCACCCACCCGCCAAATAAGGCCCTTCTTCAGTAACTCGACCCCTTTGCAAAATGCTTCACCAAGTATATGAGATTCCACCTTTGGCTTGTCACTCCAGAATGCTGTTGTGAGGGAAATATTTCGCTTTCAGCACCCTGCCACAGAGGCTATCTGGATTGGTCAGCAGCCTCCATGCCTGTCTAGCCAACATGGCCAAATTGAAGAGATGCAAGTCTCTGAAACCCAAACCCCCTTTCTTCTTTGACCGTGTCAATTTTTCCCAGCTGAGCCAGTGAATTTTATGTTTCTTATCTTGCTGGCTCCCACCAGTACCTGCACACCATTGCACTTACTTCATCACACAAGGTCTTGGTTATGTCAAAACAGAACATGGCGTAAGTGGGAATAGCCTGGGCCACCGCCTTAACCAGAATTTCTTTACCGGCCTTAGGGAGCATTTTTTCCTGCCAGCCCTGAACCCGACACCAGATTTTCTGCTTGATATATGCGAACGTCTTCTTTTTTGAGATCCCAATGGAGACCGGCAACCCCAAGTATCTTTCACCCCACTTCTCTTGAGAAATTGATAGGGTAGCTTTCATTTGCTCTCTCACTGTCCTTGCTGTGTTTGGACTGAAAAGGATGGAAGATTTTTCTTTGTTGATCACTTGATCAGACACCCTCTCATATACCCCCAATATTCTCTTTTTTTTAACGCAATGGCAGGAGCTCTGCCTTTCAATTAAGATGGGGGAAAGAACGTTTATGTACAAACAAGGACACTCGAGATTAGGTTTTCAAACCCCCACAAGCATGCAAAGTAGGGAAACGCACGGCCCAAAAGGGGTGGGGGCAACAGCTACACATAAGCGAGTGCTCTCTTCCTTTGCTCTATGTCTTCCTTTATCCTTGCGGTCACTTGCGGCACCGTTTCTATCTTGTTGTCGAAGATTCTCCTATTTCTCTCTTTCCAAATATTCCAAAAGGTGTAGATTACTACCCCGTTAAGCCGCCTACGCTCGGATCTTGGCACTTTCCTCGCCACCTCTTCCCACCATGACCTGATATTGGTGAGGTCCACCTAGGGTTGCTGTTGAAGTTGAGTGAAGTTTTCCCACGAGAAGATTTGATCCCAAACCGCCTTTGCGAAGAGGCAACATAGGCATAGGTGGAGGCCGGTCTCTAAGGGACCATTGCAGAGCACGCATTGTTGTTGGTGTGGCCACCCTCTCCTCTGTAGGTTTTGCGCCGTTAGAATTTTATCTTGCACTAAGATCCAGGCGAAGATCTTGGATCTGTTCTCCACTTGCGCTTTCCAGATCAAGTCCGTACAGAAGGGGACGAGCGAGCCTTTGAATTTTATTCTGTAGGCCGAACGGGTGGAGTAGTTCCCATCATTGGTCCATCGCCAGATGATGGTGTCCTGGACGCCCTGTTGCAGGTGCACATGTTGTATCCGTATCCAAAGGGACACAAACTCCTCTATGTGGACAGCCGAGGTGATTTTCCTTCCTAGCTTGTGCATCCAATTGTTGTTCCGGAGCTCTTGTTGCACCGTTCGGTTTCTCCTTGAAACTAGGCGAAACAAGTTCGGGGCTAGGTACCTAGGAGCTTGTCCATCGAGCCAATTGTGGTGCTAGAACCTAGTCTTCGCACCGTCCCCCAAAGTTATAATGACTGAGGAGTTGAAGAGGAGACGATCATCATCAGAACATGGAAGCTCTGAGCCACTCCAAGACTTGGAATCGTCCACCCATTCCTGCCAAAGTCATCGCAACCGGAGGGCTCTCCCAAATCTATCAAGGTCGGGGACGCCTAAACCACCAAGTTCTTTTGGCCTGGTAACTGTTCGCCAGTTAACAAGGCAGTGTCCGCCATTGGCATTCTCCTCCCCCTTCCACAGGAACGATCTCCTGATTTTGTCGATCTTTTTCTTAGCCCATGCAGCTAGAGGAAACACCGTCAGGTGGTAGGTTGGCATGGAGGAGAGGACATATGTTACTAGAGTGAGGCATCCCGCTTTGTTAAGCCATCTTCCTTTCCACTTGGGTAACATTTGAACAATACAGTCTATGAGAGGTTGCACGTGGATCTTTTGTAGTGATCTGATGTGGAGTTGCAGCCCCAAATACTTGCATGGGAAGCTCCCTCTAGAACCGGTGAAAGGTGAGAGGACTTGGTCTAGATCTACGTTTGCGCAGCTGATCGGATGCACTGAGCTCTTTTGTAGGTTAATATGGAGTCCCAAGAATGTGCCAAAAGCCTGTAGGATGGTTTTGACGGCTTCAACATCGTCTTTTGTGGGGCTGATGAAAATGGCAGCATCATCCGCATACATGGAGGTTCTCCATTTTGCCGCCGTGATTGGTAAGGGGGTGAGTATCCCATGTTCGGTTGCCCGGTCAAGCAAACGTTGAAGCGGGTCCATAGCTAGGATGAATAGCATGGGTGAGAGTGAATCTCCCTGTCGGACGCCTATGGCATGGCTAAAAGCGGCACCCTGCCGCCCATTAAGCAAGGGTGTGGAAGTGGATGTACGTAGAAGGATAGAGATCCATTCACGCCATCGCTGTCCGAAGCCCAGAGCCTACAGAATCTCGAGCAGGTACCCCTAATGAACCGTATCAAAAGCTTTGTGGATGTCTAGTTTCATGAACAAAGCTGGTATCTTCTGCTTGTGTAGCCTTTGTACCGCGCCCTGGACGTAAAGGAAATTATCATGTATGCTTCTCTTTTTTATAAATGCGCTCTGGCAGTTGGAGACGAGAGAGTTCAGTCGAGGGGCAAGTCTGTTAGCTAACACCTTGGAGAAGATCTTAGCAATGCTATGGACGAGGTTGATGGGTCTAAAATCAGTAACTCTTGTTGCATCCGTTTTTTTGGGTAGAAGGACGATGCAAGCCGAGTTTAGCCATTCCAAGCCCTGGGCATTCAATGTGAATAGGCTGTTCATGGCTGCCATAACATCATCCTTAATGATTTCCCAACAAGCTTTGAAGAAGGCACCCGTGAAGCCATCCGGTCCTGGCGCTTTGTCGGAAGGCATGGAATATATAGTGTTTTTTATCTCTTCCTGGGAGAAAGGCACCTCCAGATCAGAGAGATCGTGTTGGTTGTAGCCAAGGGATTGCCAATTAACTGTGGAAGCTCTCGGAACCGCGGAAGGCAATGTGATTTTTGAAATAATCTCGAATCACCTTTTCTTTCTCTTGATGAGCCACCGCGATCCCCCCATCTGTATGTAGACAATGTATGTAATTCTTTCTCCGGCGTGCGTTGGCTCTACTGTGGAAGAAATTAGTGTTAGCATCTCCACACTGTATGTATGTTAGTCTCGATCTCTGTCTGATTCTTGATTTTTCGATGGCTACGAGCCTAGTGCTACGGGCTTTGAGGCGGCGACATAGGTGAAGCTCCATGGCAGTGAGCAACCTATGCTCTTGGGCTGCTTCTAATTGTAGCAGTACTTCTTTCACTATGGCGAGCTGCATCCTCGTATCCCCTATCTTGTCTTTCTTCCAACGCTTGATACCTTTTGCCACACGCGCCATTTTGATATGCAAGCGTTTGATTGGAAGAGCGGAGGCGACCGGCCTATTCCAAGTGATTTGGACAAGATCTTGAAAGCCTTCCATCTTAGTCCAGTAATTTTTGAAGCGGAAGGACGTGCTGTGATGGTGGTCAAGTTCTCCCTAGAGTAGCAGCGGGGTATGGTCCGACATGAGCGATGGAAGGGAGTGTAAGAAACACGAGGGGAAGAACAGCTCCCACTCGGGGGTACATAATAGTCCGTCAATTCTAGTGAGCGTCGGGTTTTCCTGTTGATTGCTCCAAGTGAAGCGGCGTCCATTTAGCTTGATTTCTTTGAGCCTCAAATGATAAATCGTCACTCTAAATGCCCCCATGAGGCGCCGGTTTAGATTGGAGTTGTTCTTGTCTTCCGCCTGATAGATGAGATTGAAATCTCCCAGGATGAGCCATCTATCATTCTCCGGCGGTGGAATGTTCTTTAGTTCTTGGAGGAATTGAAGTTTGCCTGCCTCTCCTTGCAGGCCATATACCAATGTAATTTGCCACCTTGTTCCATCTGCCCTCATGTTGATCTACGCGGTTATAGCGTTCGAGGTAAGTACAATGTCGGAGAGGTCGAAGAAGTCTTCATTGACCGCAAGGAAGATGCCTCCTCGTGTCTGTTCCGCCGGGAGCACAATATATGAGTTTACAAATTTCGCTCCGACTGTTCGGCGCACCACATTATGATCCATAACTTGCATCTTTGTTTCTTGTAGACATACGATGGTGGCGCCAGTGGTTCTCACTAACTCACTGACCGAGTCTTGTCGGGCGCCATCATTCAAACCCCTGACGTTCCAGTTAAGTAACTGACAATTCAGCTGTGCCATATGTCAACCAATGGGCCCCTATTTAAGATAATTCTTTGGAGGGAGACAAGCAAGAAGCCGTCTGGTGCTGTGGTAGAGGCGATAAGCACAAAGATAAACACACATAGGCATATGGTCATGAAAGCATCAACTTGGAGTGGCCGATACATCTGAAAGCCAGTGGCTGTCGGCGTAGTGATACAAAGCAAGCGTTTCTTGCTCACTGAGTTTTTGCTACAGCTAACTACCAGATGACGAGTCCTTGCAGTGTGGTGGGTAGGCGACTGTAGGCCTCTGGCTGTCGCCACACCCAAGCACCATGATTGGACGGTCACAAAAGATGTGGAGCTCCTGGAGCTCCTGTAGCGGTGATCCATTACTAACATTAGTACATTGCTCTACCCATGTGCGTCAGCAGGTATCTAGGCGTGCGTAGTGGGCAGCGCTGCCGCAGCGTCGAGGCCACACAATGCCGTCAGCACCTTCACGGTGTCGTCGGTGAGCGGTCCCTTGAACAGGCTGAAGTAGCGCAGCAACGCGTCGTCATGGCTGAGTCCTTCCACGTCAAGGATGCCAAGCCTTTTCATCAGCACTTGCCTGGCCTTGGCCTAAGTGTCACCCCTTGGTCAGTTCATGGCAGCTATACGGACGCTCCAGCGTGCCGGGACTAGGGCCTCTTGCATCGCTGTGGTGGGCTGGGCTAGCACACCGGGACCTGCAAGATGGGTGGAGGCAGAGGCTGTGAGATCCCCTGTAGGAATTCTGACACCGGCGCTGTGGTGACAGGTGTGCTTTGGTCAGCGTCATTTACCTCCAGGGCGGTGCTAGTGTGTTCCGGCAGTTGGTGCTGGAGGCCATTTGCCATACATGGACGGCGAGAGCAGCTGCTGGCCATACCGCGGGCACAGCGTCTGGAGTAGACGATGCCAGGGTGAAAACGCACCACCTGGGCTTTTCGGCCGGTTGTGCGTGGTTGCGGTGCGTGCGGGGAGCACATGGTCGCCTGGAGTAGACCCGGCCCGTGCGGAAGCGACAATCATCCGCGAGGCTTGATCGCTGCTGTGCCATGATGTCATGGTCGCCGACAGGGAACCTGCAGTTCACTCAGACAAGATGGAGATACAGTGCCCGTCAGCAGCCCTGTAGAAGAGCTGCTTGGTGGTGCGGCCATGCTCAGCGCAGTGGTAATAGGTGGGACGTTCGGCTCGCAGGTTGGAGGAGCAGAGATCGAAGGGATGAAAGGCAGATCATCGCATTGACTGTGGTTAGCACGCACCTTGGGAGGACTTGGTGATGGGTGGTGGTTGTTGCCGTTGCCACCGCTGAAGTCAGGTGACTTGCAGCGCAGGCGTAGCGACGGGGATTTTGAGAGCGCCGTCGTGGTCCTCGGCTCTGAGCGCGCGTGCCTGTGCGACCTCCGGTGGGGCATCCGTTCCCTGCTCTGACCCCTGGTTCTGCGGTGGACATCCACTAGGAGGCCGGGGTCAGCAGGCATGGCGAGCTACTGTCGAGCCCTCGTGCTAGCGCCTACAGCGTCGCCTGGGGCAGATTGGCGGGCACCATGGCCAGCAGCGATGTCGTGCAGTGGGCATCGACGACCTCCAAGTTCCAGGCTCCGATGTCGACGGCCTCCGTGCCTGGACTCCGAGCGCTCCCACTCGCGGTACTTGGGCGCCCGCGAAAGGCTGCGGGTGAGCCGCGAGTGCCAGTTGGCACCCTGGCGTTCACGGCGTCCACGACGGTCGTTGTCGTCGTCGCGATGGCTGCCGTGGATGTCAGCCGGCGGAGGGTCGTGGTGGTCGCGCGGCGTCCTTTCTCCATCAACGACTCCGTAGTCCCATGTGTACACCCGGGGAGCAGCAGCATGTTCGTCTCTGTCAGGAGGGTCCTCCACCAGGTCAAGGTGCACCAGCACCCTAAAGGTGAGTCCCCGGCGGCCGCGAGCAGTCTGCGAGCTGTGGGCCTCTGTCTTCCTGCACGACAATGTCAGCCAGGTTACCTTTGGAATGTCGGACGGGTTGTGCGTCCAGGCCCAGACACAGAGTGCCCTGGTGTCGGCACGGTCTAGCGAAGACTTCTCGATGTAGTCGAGGTCGCAAGCTCTAGTGACTGCCCTCTTGTCGATGCTCTCATTCCAGGCATGGAGGGAGATGCCCTCCAGGCATAGGCGAACGCGGTACTTGAGGTCACAGATGTCGCCGTGCGTCACCAACTGCCACGGCCTTGTGTGGATGTCGAGGTTGCGATAGGGGAAGGTCCCCCGCGCCACAGCCTCGTCGCGGTGGTGGCGGTGCTTGAAGTCGATGAAGAAGTCTTCGGGTGCGTGCCTGACGACGGTGACATCCTCTGGACGAACCAGAAACTGGTGGCAGATGGCCCTCTTGATGACCTCAGGCTCCACTACCGGCTGGTTCCCCCCCAGTTCGGCCACGATGCCATGCATGGAGAGGCGGTCAAGCTCATGGTCCATGTTGTCGACGGAGAAGGCCACGGCACAGGTGTCCAGGGGACGGACAGAGGGGTCCCCGGGCCTGGCCATCACGCTCGTTCACAGAGGTGGGAAGGCCACAAGAGAAGCAACGTACCGGGTCCCTACAGTCCGCCGCGGCGTGGCCAGGGGAGACACATCGGAAGCATTTACCTCTCAAGCGCTGCTGCAGTTCCTCGCTGTGGTGGTGGCGCGCCGATTTGACCTGGGTGGTTGAGGGCGTTGAATGCGCCATGCTTTTGAACTCGGGGAGATGCCACCAGCGTCTTGGGCGCACCATTGACCAACCGTCTTCATCTTCTGACGCGAGGCTTGCGCGTGAATGCGCCCGACCGGCCTTCTGCCACACCCCGGCGACAGCTCTGAGTCGCCCCCCTCGGGAAGGTAAATCCCCTTCAGAGCCGAGCGATGCAGACTGGAGTGGTGGAGTTGAATGCCCGACGGATTGAGCGCCATGCCTTTCCACAGCGGATCTGAGGCAAGATTTAGTAGGCGTAGTGCTAGCGGAGTAGTAATGCCTCACCGGCCGATTGCAGAGGGGGAGGCGAACCTGACACGCCTGGGCGACGTGCTTCCTGTCTTGTTCGACCCGGCAGCAACAGCAGCGGGAGTGGCGGTGGTAGCGCCGAGGCGGAGGTCCGGCCCCGCAGCGACCGGGATGGGGACTGGGGACGCGCCGTGAGCTGCAGCGGGCGCAGCGGCCGGCGCGCCGGGGACCGGGCGGCGGGGAGGCGACGCACGGGGTGAGCAGGGTGGGAGACGGGCTCGATCTGTGGCTGTGAGCCACCGCGAGCAATGTGAGTGGGATGAGGAGGATGGCCGCGGGGAGGGGAGCGCGCTGAAACACGCGGCGACCGGGGGCCGCGGCCGGCGGCGGCGGATCTGGGCTGGTGGGCGGCGTACGGGGGCAGGGGAGGGGCGGGCGCGGAGGAGCGGGGGAGCGTAACGGTTCCATCCCAATACTCTCTTAAGCCCTGCTGCTTCCTCATTTCGCGCTCGCATCAAAATCACAGCATCGTCTGCGAAAAAAGAAGAAGATGGTTGACACTTGCGCCGTCCGGCATACCTTGATGCCCACAATTTTCCCGTCATTCTCAGCCTTCTTCAGCATAGCGGACAGCCCCTCAGCACAAATGATGAAGAGGTATGGGGAGGGAGGATCCCCTTGTCGAAGCCCCGCTGTGATATGATTGTGTTAGTATAAACCCCCCCGTTTCACCTTGATACGGTAATTCACCGTTGAAACACATCTCATCACCAGATCAGCCCACTGCTGCCTGAACCCCATCTTGATCATCATACTGTACAGAAATCCCCATTCAACTCGGTCATAGGCCTTGCTCATGTCTAATTTAATTGCTGCCACCCCATTCGATCTGCTTCTTTTGTTTTTGAGATAGTGTGTTAGCTCATACGCCAATAGGACATTGTCAGTAATTAGTCTCCCAGGAACAAAGGCGCTTTGAGAGGGTGAGATAACATCTGGAAGCACCACTTTCAACCGGTTGGCAATTACTTTGGATATAATCTTATATAGCACTGTACACAAGCTGATTGGCCGGATATCTTTGATTTTCTCCGGTTTGTCAATCTTGGGAATAAGGACTATTATTGTATCATTCCACCCCGGCGGCATTTCCCCTCCATTCAAAACATTCAGCACATCAGTTCTCACCCGCCCTGCAATTAGGCCCCAAAATCGCTTGTAAAAAATGGCTGGAAAGCCACCCCCACCAGGGACTTTGAGATCTCCAATGCTCTCCAATGCCTTCCAAACTTCCTCTTCTGAATATGGAGCCAGCAGTATTTCATTCATCTCTCTAGTGACGCATTGCTCTACACAACCAGTCACCTCTTCAACACCTCCGCCTGCTTGTGTAAAAAATAGAGCTTGGTACTGGTTAGCAATATATGTTTTCAGATCATCTCCCTGTACCACTCCTCCCCCCTCCTCCACTAGTTGCTTAATCCCATTCTTCCTCTTTCTCTCCGATGCAAAAGCATGGAAAAATCTAGTGTTCCGGTCACCATTCAGCAGCCATAAATTGTGAGCACGTTGCTTCCAGTACACATGCAATTGATCCTCCAATCTTTCTAACTTAAAGCGCAGCACATGCTCCCGGTTTACATTTTCATGGGATATTCCCCTTCTCCTGCATCTCTCTAGCTCCCTCCTAGCGTTCTTCACCCTTTTCTCCAACTCTCCCAAAACCGACCGGTCCCACTCCCACAATTCCCCCGGTACCCAACTTTGCAACTCCAAAAGAGTGGTGGTACCTTCCAGTAGGGCCGAACCCCAAGCCTCCTCCACTTTAGTTGTGCAGTCCTCCTCCTCCAGCCACTGGGCTTCAAAATTCCTCAGGACTTCCCGTGGCCCCTCCCATCTCCGCAGCTCCCTCTCCCCCACCTCCACAATCACGGGCCTATGGTCTGAGTGTCGTGGATCACCATTAATAACACGGACTAGAGGGAATTTGCATCTCCAGGCCGTGTTAGCCAGAGCATGATCCAGGCGCTCTCTTGTGTAACTCCCCGCATTGTGATGGTTATTGCGCCATGTGAACAGATCCCCCACACAGCCAAGATCATGCAGGTCACAATCCTCCAGCGCCCTCCTGAATTTCTCCATTGCTGCCTCCACTCTCGGCAGCCCCCCTCCTTCTCATGGGCAAAAAGGACGTCATTAAAATCTCCCGCACACACCCAAGGTAAGGACAGGCGTCCATGTAAGGTCCGAAGAGTCTCCCAAGTTTTCTCCTTCTCCTCACTCCTTGATTCCCCATACATCCCTGGAAACCTCCACTCAAAACCGTCTTCCTCGACACGGTCGAAAGTCCATAGACAATTTTAAAATATCCTAGAGAGAGGGCAACTTTTCCGAGAGAAAAATTTGGTTGATTACATCAAATCAATGTTACTTGCATAATTTTTCATGCTATGCTTCTGATAGATCTAACATTCATCATCATTCATGAAAAAGGAGCCTTTATTTCTACTAAGCTTGATATTCCTGTAGCACCACGAGGGCTAATAGACTACTAGTTCTCGGATCCTGCTCAGCAGCCAATCATAGTCTTCGCCCGGTTCGCTTGGGCTTGTTTGGCTGATAATCCATGACTGAAAGTACTGTTGGCTGATTTGGTGTGAGAGAAAAATACTGTTCGTTGGCTGAAAAAGTACGGCTTATAAGCCAAACAAGCCCAAGCGAACAGATTGTTTGCATGGTATATTGGCAATTCAATTCGGGCTGATATAATTTGTTTGAGAAACTAAATTTCTAGTCTCACCTCACATAACATTTTCTAGAGTTCGAGGGACACTTCTCAGAAACAATCTGGCAACCAAGTCACGAAAAATGAGAAATTTATGGGGGCTGTAAAACAAGCCATCCATCGGTAGGAATCCAACGGTGCAAAAATAAAAGGTATCCATAACAAGGTACAAGTAATACCGGACCGATACAAAGTACACGAGGGACCACCAGTACTCAGTTTAATTTTTTTTCTTAGTCAGCAAAGTGTCCTTACCCCATAATTTAATTGTTGATAAATTGTTTTGATTGAAATTATTAGATCAACACACTACTAGATAACAGACTTTAGAACGATGTTCCAATTTGGCATTAGCCTCGGCATTTTTTGCCGCCGGGACTAAAGGACCCTTTAGTCCCGATTCGTAATACCAACCGGAACTAAAGGTCCCTGCCCAACGGTCGTCCACGTGGCAGGGATCTTTAGTCCCGGTTGGTATTACCAACCGGGACTAAAGGCCTTTAGTCCCGGTTGGTAATATCAGCCGGGACTAAAGGTTTTAGTCCCGGTTTGGGTGATACCCCAGGAATAAATATTAATCTTTAGTCCCGGTTTGGTCACCTAACCGGGACTAATTATGCCGGCCTATACACCGGCTCATTTCTTTCTCCCCGAGCCCGAGCCATTCCATTCAAACTCACTGCCTCTGTTCTTCAGCTTGCTGTTGTTCTTGCTCTCTCCCCCTTCATTGGTGTTGCTCTTCGATTTTGGAGGTAATAAACTTAATCCTCTTATGTTTTATCAGTAGCTTATCTCATTTTGCGATATAGATGCATATGTAACTTTATATGTTGGACTTTATTATGATTTTATATGTCATTTTTAGCTCAAAATCACATGATGATTTGCATATATGTTTGGATAAACAAAAGTTAAATTAGTTCATCAAAATCACGCCTCGCTCGTCCTCGCTGGAGCACGCGCCATCCTCGTCCCCGGCGGCTTACGTGATCTTAGAATTAATTTTTCCATGAAATGAAAAACTTAGAAAATTGTTAGAAAATTGTACAAAATCCGTACTAGTTGAACTTGCGGACCGTGATCATCTCGGTGAGCATTTTCTCTGCCGAGCGGTAACGGACGTCAAGGAGGAGCTTTGATTCTACGAGGGAGAGCGGCAACGGTCATGGAAGACCGTGTTCCCTTCCTCGTAGAATCGGAGCTCTTCCTTGGCCAAGTACGGTGCCGTCCGGTGGAGAAATGCTCGCCGAGATGATCACGTAAGCAAGGTCAACTAGTACAGATGATTATTTATTGAAACATGTTTTTGAGCTATGTGATTTCTATGTCATTTTTAGCTCAAAACCACATGATGATTTACAATAGTTGATAGTTTGGTATTTTACTATTATACATAGTACATATTTTATGGTTTAGTTAGATAAATAAATAATTTTAGTTTTGTTTAAATATATTATTTTAGAAAATATGAAATTTACAGTAGTTTGCAAAAATAAGTATAGAAAGTAGATGACAACTGGTACGGATCCTCGGCCTCTCGTTCGGTTCTTGGCTTGGTCGAGGCGAACTCCCTCTCATTATCTGCGGCAAGTGTAAGCAGAAGATTGTGATGGAGTACCGAGTCAAGAGATAGGGACCCAACAAGGATCGTGTTTTCTACAAGTGCCCGGATCGCGATGTGAGTTTCTTACATATTTGATTATTATGGCTAATTGACCTGCTTTTCTTGAATATTTTTGACTAAATATTTTTTGGCTTTAATTTCAGTGGGAGGGCAAT